GGGGGGGTAAGGAAGAGACCACCAGGTAGAGAGTAGGGAGTAAAGAAGGTGGATTGCCAGGACAGAGGTAGAGAGAGGAAAGAGTAAACAAGGTTGAGGAAAGGAAGACTGACACAAACACACATTCATTATCCTTGTTAGTCTCCCTAGTGTACATACACATTTTCACTAGTTTCCTTTTTCACTGTTTAGGCTTTTTTTTTTTTTGTAGATCCCATATCATTTTGGTATGTAAAGCACACAGTAAGTAAGCAAAGGGTTTCCTACATGGTTACTAGAGCTCCACTTCTCAGAGTTCATATCTCATATTTACACTAAAACAACATGATGTTTGGTAAAATGTCCACAAAAAAAACTCCCCGACTTCCCCGGAGATTTCATCAATTTTCATGACTTTCTCTGATATGGCGACCATTAAAATTTGATATTATTCCAGGAATGTCATGACTAGTGGGAGCCCTGGAGTGTGGAGTATTCACTGTACATAACAGCAAAAGGCTAATGAAGGGAATATAAATGTATATATTATGCTGTATGTGCTAATGTAATGTGAGCAGCTTATAATTTCAACAAAAGGTAACACAACAGTTATTTTCTGCATAAGATCATGCACACAGTGTGACCACCCCTCTCTTCTGCACTGAGTTGGTACAGCCCATGAGAAGCTGCTCTGTCACTGTTGCTAAGGCCCACCCTCTTGAATATAGGACATGAGAACGTATACAGCTTCAGTCGACAAGGGCTACGGTGCACCCACTGACTCCTGGATTATATTCGTACATGTTGTATAAAAACGGGAGTATTAACATATGGACAGGACAATAACCAATCATCATTACTGTCCATTGCAGATAGGTTTGATTAAGCAGCACTTGTTGTCCTGCTGTGAAGACACATCAAGCAGAGATTTCCTCTTTTGTGGGACTTTATCCACATGTGGCCTCCACATGAGGTGAGGGTTAGGGTCAGTTTACTCATAATTCATTCAATGAACAAACTCTGATATTGATAAGCAACTACACCTTCAGCTCTTGCATCACTAACGTCACGAAATGTTCCTCTACAAATTAAAAAGTCTTTCTATCAAACTGTCTGATTATTAATTATCTATGACGTTCCTTCTCATGTTTACAGCAGATCATTTGCAAATAAACAGCAATCTGACATTTCATGACCTTCAGTTTTACACAGAATGAGTGATTTATTTTGATTAATTTTAAAAACTGGTGTATTACGTTCTGAAACAAAATATTAGCCTGTCTGCATGCATAATTTATCTAAACCGAATAAATCAAACTGCTTTTGAAGTGGTCTTTCTCTGAGAGACAAGTGGGTTTTGGCTTATGTTTCAGTAACTGGGTTTAAGAATCGAAATGCAGTCTCAGTTATAAATTATTTAACTGCTTTCATGTTGTTTCATAGAGAAATCAGGAGAGAAGAGATAGGGTTACATTTTCCACCTTTATGTATTTTCACAGAGAAAAGAAATACACCACACTCCTAGAACATACAGGTGCAACCATGTGCTTAGTTACTGCGAGTTATCATTTTACCCATGAGCACACATTGCCTTTTGATAGACAACAAAGTTTTTCTATATCTGAATCCAAATGTTACACAACGCTGCTGCACGCACATTTATGCAGAAAGATGCTTGTCTCGTCAGTTAGACCAAGTTAGACAAATTCGACCACAGACCCCCATCTGAGAGGATTTTTGCCTTTACATGTTTGATTACAGAAAATGTATGAAACCCATGACCCACTTAGTCTTATATTTACTGTCATTGTGTTATGGATGGAATTAAAACAAAAAATAAATTATTCCCCTTTTCGCTAGGTAAGGGGCCCGGTAACCCCCTCAAGGACCCCCACTTTGAGAACCACTGAGTTAGACGGAGCCATCAGCGAAAGCAATTATTAAACATTAAGTACAATATTAAGAATTGCAAACTGCTGTTAATCACTTTCTTTCTAAACTTGTCATTGTTAATGTTGCTTATTAATGCAGTCATAACAGATTGATTAGAAAGTCTGCACGCACTAACAATGCATTTTTGTCAAAAATAAAAGAAACATGGTTAGAGCTGCAACTAACACCTTAATTATCAATTAATCTGCCAGTAATGATCTCATTAATATGTTTGTCTTTTAGGCTATAATGTCAAAAAATACTGAAACCTTCCTCACAAATAATTAATTATCAACTGATTTTCTTCTCGATTAATTATTTGTTGAATAAAAACGTGAGACAATAATGCTCATCACAATTCTCGACAGCTCGAGTTGACGTCTTCAAATTGTTTTAGTCTGATCAACAAGATTGTTAACATTATAAAAGCTGTAACCCTTGATGATGATTTTTGGGATGTTTGACATGTCAATAATCAAAATTGTGTAAAATTGACATAAATTGTCTGTCGGCTGACTTATCATTTCAGCACTAAACATATTCTTCATTCTAACTAATGACATTAATAGAAACCAACAGATGGGCGTAAAATTTTGTGACTGCTATGGAAAATGGTTGTGGGTAATGTATATACAATTTTTGATAAATGGGTTTAAACATGTTAAAACGATAAAAAGTTTCATATCTTTTGATATCAATAATTATCACGATTTCTCAAATTCTTTTGAGTTTAAAGGCTGATTTTTGCTCCTGAGTGAAAGTCGAAGAAACCTGATGGGTGATTGTGGTTTAAACTCTTCTTTATTGTCAACACTTGAGGCCAAACAGTGGATTGCTTCATAAATCTGAGGTAGAACATTCAAAACTATTATGATAAAAACTTGTCAAGAAGTAAAATCAAGTAAAATATTTTTCCTTAAAAAAAAAGTCCTTTTTCCTCAACAAAATAAACATCTAAATAAAAAAATAAGTCCTACTTTGTGTGTGTTTTAAGTGACATTTATTGAATATCTATTGAACATTTATTATATTATTACTGGAAAAAATTATATTGCAATAATTATTGTTTTATTGTCCAGCCCTAGTGTGGTCCTTTAAGAGTCCATGCTTCTCAAATGAATGCCCTGTTAAATTCCCCCATTGTTTCCCACCATCTGTGTACACCCAGATCCAGGATGTTTACCAAGAGTATGAAATAACCTTGGCCTGCACACAGCTACATACACTACTACGGTAAGCCAGAGTCCTTGGTGTATAGAATACATAGTGTAAAGTAGTGTGCAATGGTGACCAGACTGCTGCTACTCATCTGTGCAGCAGTGGGAGTAGAAAAGTGAGATCTAGCATTATATTAGATACATAAGCAAGCTTACAAAGCAATTTAAATACTAAATAATAATGAGAAAATATATCTCTAAATATATCACTAAAATTATTATTTTTTGAAAACATGAGTGTATAACAGGCAGATCTGCATATCTCATTGCTCACCTAATTTTTCACAGAGCATTTTCAATCTCAAACACGTTCACTGCCAGACATGAATATTCATCATTTATTGAGCTCCATTAGTCTATGTGTAATTTGGAGTGTGGGTGTGTATGTGTCCTTCTTTCAACTCGTGAAATGCTGAGGGAGGCGTAGTCCGACGTGCCGGGTTCAGAACCATGCAGCCTGTTCGGGCCCACAATTCTCAGAGTGCACAGGACTGGAGAATAAAGGCCAGTGAGAGAGAGAGAGTGTGGTATTATCCTTCTTCTCTCGCTCTTACCTATTAATTTAGCCTGAACTAACTGGTCCTCTTCAAAAGTGATTTGACAGACTATTAAGTCTGCATGGAGACAGTGAAGACTGGTCTTTCAAATTCAGCCAATTACGCAGTCTGTTTTGGGTACTGAATGAAAAACATTTCTGACTTCAATTTATTTTCACACAAGGACTTTATAGTTGTTGTGTCACGACAATGGATAATGTTCAAAGGAAAAGGCAATATAACTATTCCCTTTAAATGCATTTACACCCTCAATCCAACAGTTATTTTGCCATTTCAACTAGAATGATGATAATAATAATAATAATAATAATAAATTATGGAAATCTTTACAAAGACTTTATTATACATATATATAAAAGAAACCAATGCATGCAAATTTGAGGATTTGCTGTTCTTCTCTCTTTTATATCAAAGTAAACTGAATATTTAGTTTTTTTAACAATCCACTGGATGTTACCTTGAGCTCTCAGAACTTGAGTGATTTTGATGTTCTCACAATTTATTCACATTCAAATCCTTTGTAGACAAAACAATTAATCAAAAAACAAAACAAAAACACAAACAGTGAATGTGTGCACATTAAGTCCACAGCTCATTTTCAGCTAAACACAGCAAAACAGCCAGCTCCTGCGTTTTGCTTTACTTCTCTGAATACTGACCTACCACTGCCATCCTACAAACATGACCCTAAGCCTTAGTTAGAAGCTCAGTTCATGCCAAAATAATATATACAGCAGTGTATTTTCAGTCAAAAAAGCAAATAAACAAACACGATAATAATATTCTAGGAATATTCAGTGAGAATCACTGTTGAATAATAAACATAGCTACATAGGAAGGATCCAAACTACATTAGGCTGTGAGCTGTATTCACCCGCATCTTAAGAGTGAAACATATTGCAGCAATCAAACAGAGCACACATCGCTGACCAGCCACACTTGACCTACTTGATCTAGGGCTCCAGTGAGTGAGTCATGTGGTGGCTGTGCGGGCACCTAAATACTAATGTGATCCTAAAAAATGAGATTTCTATGGCACCTTTAAAACATGCATGAGCAACATCTCTTTCTTAGAACCAATATCACTGTTAGTCTGGATAATCCACACACCTTACTGTGAAGAGTTCTACTTGCTAGTGAAGAAATAGTCTCAGCGAAAAACAATGACACTATGTTCTAACTCAGACACTGTGTCTGGAAAGACATAGGAAGGATCCAAACTACACTAAGCTGTGAGCTGTATTCACCCGCAGCTTAGGAGTGACACATACTGCAGCACTCAGCACACATCGCTGACCAGACACACTTGACTTACCTGATCTAGGGCTCGAGTGAGTGAGTCATGTGGTGGCTGTGGTGGCCTTGTCCAGGGCTCAGAGCAAAGATAAAGGGAGGTAAGGGGAGACCGCGGGTGAGATCAGTGGTGGACGAGCCGCTTGGAGTGGAGATGATGGAGCGGTGGTGGTGGGGTTATGGCTCCACGGCCGCTGTGTCGCACGGCACCATCCCAGTTGCAGGGAGAAGCCTGCTGGCCTCTGACTGGGAAAAGAGAATGGAGAAAAGAAACACAACACTGTTAGTATGCAATGCAGGGGATATTTCATCTGACGGTGTACAAATCGTACTGACAAGAGTTAATTTGTCGTGGAAGTTGGTCAACAATCATCGTGTGATCCAGATGCCAGAAAACACTTTCATTAAGTGAACAGGAGTTCTGTAATGTTGCAGACTAAGTGATGCTGTTCTTTCAGTAGTCAAACTATACGATAAAAGTGAAAATGCGTTCCTTTCCACCGTATTTACAAATGAGAAAAAGATAGAGAGAGATAGATTAAAGGAGGCATTCATGATTTTAGTAGATTTTCTATCCTGCAGTCATGTTTTCAAATATGACTAAACCATAACTGAAAGATGGGACATTTTAGGGCTTCATGTGCAAGATAGTTGAAGATTAATAAAGATCTACACCACCTGCAGGCTGCCATCTTTAGGTATAATAAAAAAATGCAGGTCATCTGAACTATACACAGTGCTAGAAGCTTCAACTAAAAAGGCCATAGACATCCACTTTAATAATCAGTTTCAGCACACACAGAGACCAGAAAAGTCTGCACACTGATTCATCTGCACCTGATGCTTGTGTTTCCTCATAAGACATCAGCCTGATATCCGCAGACAGCTGGCTAGTTAGCTTCCCAGCAGGTAGGGACATGGTAAAATCTACACACTGTTCTGTCAACATCCGTGGCTTCATTTCTCATAATCAGATTGCCTCATCAACAAACACAAACCGAGAACTCGCATCAATGTGCAGAGACTATGCCTCTTGTAGATTCACTACGATAGGCACAGAGACAGTCGGACACCTGGAGTTGGGAGACACCTTAGTCACGACAAACTGTAGTAGATGCACGTACAGTGCAGCTATTCAGGTGACATTTTGCAGGACTGTGTTGACTTGATACAGCTAATGTAGCCAATTAATCACCCAGCCCGACATGCACATATGCACAATAAGCACCTAAGAACATTGTCTATAAGGCAGAATTGTAATGTCTACGTCAAAAAGACATGAAAGAACAATACAATACACAGAGGTATGATCTTCTTTTTAATGAAAGTGAAGCACGTCTCTGAGCCTACGACACCTGTTGTTGACAGCTGGTCATACCCTCTAGGGGGAAGAGTTTCGCAAACAAAGTAAACCAAAAAAGCGTTAAAGACCAATCAAAGAAGTACAACCACGTGATTGTGTCATGACTAAGATCAAAGGGGTTTGAAACTTTATTATAATCTGTGTAGTCTGCTTTACCAGCAGGAACAAGAATTTAATTTTAAAGTCTCCTGTGGTTCCTGCACAGAAAAAACCCCTCAAAAATGAAGAACTTGAAAATACAAACATTGATTGCACATAGGTCCCTGATCTCCTTTCAGTCACTGTCATCAACTTCACGTTTGGAAGAATCTTAAGTCTTGTTATTATTAACTGTTTGTAAATGACTCTCCGGGTCTACGCCCCTGGCTGGTTCTGATCCTTCACAGTCCTCTCCCCTTTAGCTTTAGCCTTTACCCATTTCCGTCTGTTCAGGTGGCACGCAATTCACCTGTGCAACAGTAGATCAGTCATTTCGGAGAAAGTGCAATCATAAGAGCAGTGCACGATGGTGATTTTCCTGGTAGTGAAGCAGACTGTACACACCAAAAGCAGTGCTGAATCAATCAGCGGCCAAAATGATCGCTGCATCACAGCTCTACTTAAGAAAGGGTGATGCACTGGTTTTAGATGATCCTTCCTTGTTGTGTGTGCAGCTACACTGCACAAGAGAAATATTTTGATTAACACGAACCTCAAACACACCAACTGATTTAGTATTCCTCCTTATCCAGTCCCTTTCCTAAAGGAGCTACCAGGGAATCGGTTTCCTTTGGTCATGAAATTATCAAAAGAGCTTTGTGAGGACTGGTTTGCCTGAGATATAGCCTATGTAAGGTTTTCTAACAACAAGCTCATCGGCTTTTATGGGATCACATATTTCCCTCGGTGTAAATTACACCTAGAGCGAACTGACGAGTTAACGGGTACACAGACTTTTTCAAAGCTCGTGTATGTTTTTGTTCGTCTTGTCCTTCAAAACTAGGGACGGGAATGCTGTTATTTTTTTAAATTAATAAAAGACAAAACCAGAGAAAAAGGGAGAGTACAACAAAGATAGAGAGAGTGTGTGTAAGATAACTTTATTTGGTTCTCACTTATTATAGCAGATGAAACTCTCAGAAAGACCCAGGTAGCGGACACGGTGAGATTCAATGGTGAAATTAAATTGGCCAGACTGACAAAACTAGCAAGTGCCGATTTTCTCACAGTACATTTGTGACGAGACCCTGCGGACACGTGTTCTAGATAGAATACGTGTCCTAACCCATCTTTCTCGTCTTCACTTAAGGGTGTACTTATTTTTGTTGCCAGCTGTTTAGACATTAATGGCTATGTGATGTGTTATTTTGAGGGGACAGCAAATTTACACTGTTAGACAAGCTGTGCACTCACTACTTTACATTGTAGCAAAGTGTCATTTCTTCAGTGTTGTCACATGAAAGGATATAATCAGATATTTATAAAAATCTGAGGGGTGTACTCACTTTTGTGAGATACTGTATATATGCCTCATAGTGGACGGACGCCTGCTCTTTCCCTTCCATATTCTTGCAACCAAGCAACCTGTTTAAAAGCAAGAAATCTGTCTTTGAAGGCACATATTAAGAGGAGCTTATCAAATTTGCTGCCAGCAAAGACACATGCACTAGTTTATGTTCCACGGTATGATAAAGGAGGTGGTGATGCATTTTGAACACACACACACACACACACACACAGTGTGCCAAGGACAACCTGCCTCCATACATGTACTTCAGATAACTGACAAACCACGTCATTTGATAATGTATTCAACCATACATTTTCAACAAAGACGTCACAGGCCTGCATTCCACACATAGTCCTTGATGTCTTTAATTTTCAGAGGAAGCTCCATCTGCCTGCAGTCTCAGCTTCAGTAGACTAGCTGGCTTGTTTTGGAATAGCATGACGGTCTTTATGCCTCATCTATAAATGCTTGTAAATAAGTACAAGGTCTACGTGACAAATGGTGCAGATGTGGAAAGGGCAGACAGCTTTTACAAGCACACGTGTTATCAGCAAGGGAAGGTCAATGAGAGATTCCAGATTCGGAGCTCAGGTCTTTTTTAATTATAATCTAATAGCATGTTATGTGTTGAATGAGTCAGTGTATCACATGTCATAGCACTAACAATACAGTCATGAGCTCAGTCTTACACCTTATTATGTAACGATGAAACTATGCCAACATTTACCCCTAAAGAATAACAGACTTATAACTTGTTATTTTAGACAGTAAGACTGACCTGGTAACACCATAAGGGAGATCATCCCTTTATCCAAAACACATTACACACCACATTTTATATACTTGCCATCATTTACTGATAGTAAAAGAGCTTCAGAAGAAGTTAAAGGGATAGTTCGGGTATTTTGAGGTGGTACTGCTCCATAGTCAGAGTATTACATAAAGTAAACGGCGGTCTGCATGTTTCCAGTTAGGAGAATCAGACAGGAGTCCCAGCATGGAAGCATAGCAATGCGCTGCTCTAGATAGGGGCTGCAGAAAATGTATTTTAGCCACATAAAAAAGACCCACTTATCAATATCAATTTAAATGCACGCTATATTTGGAATATTTTCACCGCTTTACCTCGCCGTCAGACAGCCTTTTTATTTGGCACTTACTGAAGAACTCACATATTCCTACGCACAAGCACAACTGCGCCCGGACTCCTCTCTGCTTCTCCAAAGTGGAGACGTGCTGTAGGTAATACTTAGACTGTATATAAGTACAACCTCACTTCAAAATACCTGAACTATCCCTTTATCTTTCACCTGCTTCACTTTAACCGTCTCAACATTGCACTGAATTTGCTGATAGTTTTTGGAATATTCGTGTGAGCATATATTCCCACACATGATAAAAGGCACGCCACATTTACTCACACTGTTTACAACACAACGAGACAAAAGAAGCAGTATGGTAGCTTGATTTAGTCATGTTTTCTAGCAGATTTTAGTAGAATCTGGAGAGCGAAGAAATAGAAACTGAGAATATATTTTTAATAGATAATACAATATTATTAACAGTGTACAATTTACAGTAGACAGTAACTAAGAATTAGTTACTACAACAAAATAAATATAAACAAAAACTGTCCTTAATTTGGATAATTGTTCAAAATATGCAGCTATGCAAATTACATGTTTATCCTCCAACTTCTTGAAACGCTTACACACTCTTCAGGTGACAATTTCATAACATTACAGCAATCAATCCTGCCATGGCTCACTAGTCGGCTAATTACAGTGAAGTAAGTCAATAATTACAGTTCTATGCACAATGATGGCGATTGATTTTCACAGCACATTTAATGCACCCTGTGTTTGTTTAAACATGGCACCATACACTGGATGTTCAGAAAAGAGTGCGCACACACACAAACGCACTCCGCATTATCCCTCTAAAAAATAAATAAAAAACCCACAGTCATCTGTCCATGAGGGATGCATTTTATGGACATCCAATTAAATTTTTTAACATTATCTGGTGGGGCTGCCATGGTCCAACACGATTAAAAAGCTATACAGTCTCCTGTGGGAGTGTTAGAAGTAGGGATGACAGTATGCAAAACCTTGGAAATTACTTACAAATCCCTGTTAACACTTTATTACTTTGTTATACTTAAACAAGAATTTTAATTATATTGTTTTGGAACAATTATTTACTTGGCACCTCTACAGCGAGAGACAGGTGCATCTGAGGGGGACAGGTAGGTCAAAAGTTGCAAAGAAAACTCCTGCACACTGTCTTAACTTCCAAAAAATATACATGTATTGACAAAGTTTCGGTGCTAGACCGTCATCAGGAAATTTAGCTAAAAAAAAATAAAAAGACTTCTTTTTGCAAAATTATATT